AATTTTATCTCCTTTAAAGGATGTTTCGTCATGGTTTTTTTCAGTCGCAAATATGGAAGCCGCCTCAACCATATCAATCTATTCGTCCATACAAGCAGTTTTCAAGCGAGACTTATAGATTTTTTATTATCTTCTCGTTTGCAAATTGAGTCTAAAATAGCTGAGATATTAGACTTGAAGTCGTGCCCCTTCCCAATTGGCCCCTACAATAGAGTACAGTATGTCAGATCTCCGATATATGTAAGCTTATTTCGGTTACCACCATTTAATTTCGTGGCGACCACAAACTTCGCGCTTATATTTCACCAAACCAGGGAGTGGTACATGTATAATTCCACCAGCGTATCGTTTAATTTCAGTTTTCGTCAATATATGTGACCCAAAATCCGATTAATTTCGCCAAAAAGCCAAACCATTCCTACAAGACACAGACATAGCACCGCCACTTACAAGGATAGCGTCGGTGCAGTACGGTGCGACATGGGCTTACTTCGTGTTGTACAAGACGTCGACGTTCAGCGGGGATCGCTCAGTGCTCGTTTCTGAAAAAAGTGTCGAAAGGTGGAAGCGCACGAAAAAGCGAAGCCGTTGATTGAAACAGAGCCAGCATTGGTCGAAATATATCGGATGCCAGGTTAAATATATTGACGAAAACTGAAAATATCGATAGTTCGTCGAATTATACCGCTAGTTTGGTGAAATATAGACCTGATGTTTGAGTCCTCCACAAAATTAACCGAAATTTATCAGCCGTCTCGCCAAATATCCTGCAACCTAAGCGAAATATATTGAAAAAACGCTGGTACAGTATATCAATTGGTGAACGCCAAACTCAGATGCTTGGCCCGAACACTTGGACTTTGTGCAGAACGAACACACACAATCATGAAGAATTCCATTGTTCCATTTGCCTTGTACGAATGAAGTGTTTTGCACTCTCAACATTGGCGTGCCTTGTGATGGCTACCACTGATTCACAGCCTGGAATTGCTGGTGGTTGGTCGACTGCAAATGTGGACGATGTCAAGAAAGTGTACTTCGATGCCGTGCAGCAGTCCAAGGCCTCCGCCAACACCACCCGACTCTGTGCAACAGAATTCACGTCTGCGCAGTCGCAAGTGGTTGCCGGTATCAACTACAAGCTCAACGTGAACGCGTGTACCGTGAGCTCTGCGAATGAAACGACAGCATCGTGTAAGTGCCCCCCTTCTAGCACCAAACCGTACGTTGTGAGCTTGTTCGCCAGCCTCGATGGGGTATCCACTATCTCAAGCATTGACAACCCCCTCACCACGACAGTACCACCAAACAACAACGTCGCCACGTCCATGAAGTCGGCAGGGACGAAATCCTCGTCCGCGCCCGCCATGGGGCTTGGGCTCGTAGCAGCATGCTTGGCTACCGCTATTGTCTCCATTCTCTGAACCAGTTAAGCTGGCATGCTACTAACACACTTTACCCCCTATTTATTGAATCGACCTCACGATTACTCTGGGCCAGTGCATCTTTGCGTTGCCGTCAAGCTTCGTCAGAATACTGTCATCCTGGGATCGAACCCGTGTTTTTGCGGTGAAAAGGCAAGACTGGGTTTAACGTTAGAGTCGGAAATGAAATAAAAAGTCGGGATACTCCGTACATATCTCAAGTTATTTAAAAAAGGTGAAAACTAGCCGGATAATTTTCAGTTTTACTATTATCATTCAGTTTTACTATTATCATTCTGCTGGGTTGAACAAGGCACAAGATGAAGTCTATCTTGGCGACGTGCGTGATTGTTGCAACGGCCGTGATGGCACAGGGCCTACTCGGAGGAGGGGGTGAAGTTGGAGGAGTACCTGGAGGCACGACCCCGGCTGACGTCGAAGAGACCAAGCCTTGGCTGTACAAAGCCCTTGCGACCTCCACCTCCACCTTTGTCTGCGTGAGCCGTATTGTGTCGGTGGATCAACAAGTGGTAGCGGGGATGCACTACACGTTCCATGTCCTCGCATGTCCTGTCTCGTCCAAGCATGACTCGTCGGAATCCTGTGCGGTGGCCCATTGTGCGTCGGACGTCGCCACGAGATATGCAATCGACGTGTATTCGAAACCTGGGAAAGAGTCGGTGGAACTCAAGTCCGTCACAAAGGAAACCGTGCATGAAGTGTTGGTCGGTGGATGGAGCGAAGGCTCGTTGGTCGACGCCACGTCTGACTTTTATGCCGCCGTCCAGAGCGAATCGAGCTACGCCAACGCCGCCATCCCCCGCATTTGTGCTATTGACCTGCTCTCAGTGAACCAGCAGGTAGTGTCTGGGATGAACTATCAATTCCATGTCCGCGGCTGCCCCGCACCGACTGCCTCCGCGGCCAAGTACGGCTGCGCTTGCGGCGACTCGGCTGTCCAAGGCTACACCATTGCCATCTTCGCACAGTCGTGGACCGACACGTATAAAGTAACCGACGTCACCACTGACACCCCGCTTCTGGGCGGGTGGACTCTTCGCACCATCGAAGATGCAGACAAGGAGCTGTTCTTTCAAGCCATGGATGCAGACACGAGCAACGCCGTCCACGTGTGTCCGTTGACCTTCGATTCGCTGCAAGCCCAGGTCGTAGCTGGTACAAACTACAGATACCACGTGAATGGCTGCCCCATTGAAGACGAAGATTCGTCGTCCAGAGTACATGTGGCGGACGGATGCCCGGGGTGCACGGCAGCTCTGGCCAAGAAGTTCGAGGTGACCATCCACCAGCCGCTCCTCGATGCCCCACCTTCCGTTGCCAGTGTCATCGACCTGGCTCGCGTCTCCCTCGGCATGCAAAGCCATCAGTCCGAAAACCAGGTCGCCAACTCGTTGGCCCTCTTGGCCGTGCTGGTCAGTGGCGTCGTCGTCGTGTCGCTGCTGCTTGTGTATAAGCTGCGTCGATCGCAGTATGAAAAGCTCAACAACATGCAACTTGCAGATTAATAAGACGTGAATTCAATTCGTTTATCCTTTTTCAATGTGACACGTGCAGTTTGCCGTTATGAGGGTACAGTAATTCTGTGGAATCTGTTTACTACTGTGTACGTCACATATTGCAGTCAGCTTACTAGTTAAGTGAAGTCTCGTCGTCGTACAGTACGTATTGTGTGTGGAGTTCGTTCAACAACGACTAAACAATAGCGTTAGTTAGAGTTGGGACGTGCACCTCTGGATAGCTGAGACGAGGTCGACGTGCTTGAGCTTGGGAGGAGGCGGTTTCTTCTTGACGGGGGCCAATGGTTTGCCAAACATCCCGTCACACGTGACAGTGTCACAGACCACGGCGTCGTTGAACCCGTTCACAAACACATGGCGGAGGCCGTTGCTGGCAAAGTACAGGCGAATGGCGTATTCGTGATTGGCATCTAGGGACACGGACACGCCCAGGTGCTCCGTCAGTTTTGCGGCAATATCGTTGGACCAGGGCGGATCTCCTCTGGCCCACTGCCGTTCGATGCCTCCATTTTGGGCGTTCATGAGCAAGCCATCCCCCGCGGACGTGGTCGACAGCATCGTCTTCCCCGACGCGTAGTTGACGAAGCCCACCCCGTGGCCGTCGAAACTGAGCGCCACGTTGCCATCTTTGAACGTGCCAAACACCCGATAGCCCCCCTTGGGCTCCTTGTCCACCGTAATGGCGATCGCATTGTTGGGCCATCGACACTGCGCCGACCCGTCCATGCGGACGGTCACAGCGGCCACGTTCGACCCGGTGTACTTGACCACGAGTTCGGAAGGATTCGATTTCACATGACGTGGCACCTCAGGGGGGGTGGTGGCTGTGAGTGGAGGGGGGTTCATGCATGCGGATCGAGAGGGGGGATGTGGGCGGGTGTACTGTTCCATGTCTAGAACGTCGTCGTCGTCGTCATCGCCATTGTTGTTGCTTGTCACGGGCGAGTCCTCAATATTTGTACGGGGGCTTGTGGCCGGCAATAGCTGGCTTGGCATGGCAGCTGCATTGACAGGTACGCCTACTTTTTTAGCCGCACGATTGGTAGGTTTGGTGGTTTTCTCGGCAGATTTAGCCTTCGACGCGGTAGGGGCTTCCTTTGAAGGATGCCGATCACCAAACGTAGGCAGTCCACTGATGGCATCTGCAATCGACACAGTCGAAACTAGACGTGGAAGACAAACGATGACAAAGATGTTCTGATGGAGGTGAATCAATTGTCGTATAGTCTAAACCTTCGGCGGTCGGAATATACTCTTGCACGGGGAACGATAGCAAATAGTCCTCGAGACTGGATGTTTTCGCCTTCGTCGATACTGGCGCCGAAGATGTGGTTGCCCGTGGAGTCTGAGGTTGAACGGCTTGGAGGTTTTGTGCATCATTGGGATGCTGATTTTTCTCCTAAGCACAACATCAATGCGTATGACCAGTATTGCGATTACGAACAAGCGATCCGCTATACCGAGGCTGGACGCTTTAATCCAGTGGGAAGGGTAGCTGCAGCACTTTTCGGTTTAGCCTTTAAAGGCTCCATGTCCTTTACACGAGGAGGGGGGCGCTGAAGGATGTCCTTGGCCAAAGCTTTGCCTTCGTGTGAGTTTCGAAAGGCAGTGGCTCTCGTTCGCATATCGTCCGACACGACAGTCGTGTCCAGTCGATGCAGTGAAGGCACCAAGTCCACCACAACCATCCTATTTCCACAAGTACCTTTCATGACAAATGATGGCCACAATTAGTGATTGTTACTTGTATGAAGGCTCCTTGCAACAAGGGTTGGCCTCGATCAACAATGTGTGTAGCTTTGTGAGTGGTTTGAGCTCCTTGAGTTGTGGGAGGTCGATCTTGTTGTGCGAGATCCACAGCTCCGACAGGTGCGACAGCGCCCCCACCCATTCCAGCGAGCTCAACTTGTTGTGGGAAGCTTTCAACACACACAGCGCGGTCAACGTTTCGATGCCGTCAACGGATTGCAATAGGTTGTGGTTGACGTTGAGCAGTTCTAAGCTCGTGGCCTAACTCGCATCGATCGTCAGGCTTGACATACGTCATCATTCTGTCGGTACTTTGACCTACTCGTTGCAGGCCATCGAGCCGCCCCACGCGGTTGAACTACCCTTGGTCAACAAACACCAATTTGTTACTCAATTCAGTAAGAACAGTGTCATCACCCACCGAAATGTTCAAGTGTTGGAGGGCAGCTACATCGGCTTGTCGCAAGATGTCGTCCAGGTCGGAAATGCCCTCGTCGACGACTATGACCTCTTGGGGGGTGCTGACTATCATACGAGGACTCGTCAGTCGGTTACGACTTGACACGGCCGTTACACTTTTGCAACATGGCGAGAAAGCAGCGGCAGGCGGCGGCGGGACCTCCGTCAAATGGATATTCAGGGGGCTTCTTTCTGCCTGCTCAGCGCTCCATGCACTGCCAGGGCGGGTTCTTCTCCTCGGACACTAAACCTTTTTTGGCCATGCCACCCCCAACCAAACCCAAGACCCCCACCACCTCCCTTCGGATGGAAAAGCCGGCACCGATTGAGGTACTGGAGGTTAATTCACTTGATATGTGGTATGATTAATTGGGACGACAGAGCAATCAAGCCAGGGAAACCAACCTCCGCAACACCAGCTCATCGTTGCGACGAGAGAATCCACGGCAACCATCGTCTCATGGCAAAACACAAGCCAAAACTGGTCATCCTTGTTCTTCTACGTCAAGTCCACAATGTGATATCGAATCCAATGTGAATGCAAAGTTTGTGGTAACTACTCATGCTACAACACAAACATGTTTTTAAAGGTTCAACGGGACACGTTACGATATTGTAGCTGGCGTTAAAAGAGTTGCGTGATATCAAAGGCGAATACCAAAGGTAACTTGACGGGATTATGATTACAACAGCGACAATATGATGCTTGGTCTATATAGATCTAGACCTTTAACGTCTGGAATTCCATCGACGCCAGCACCTCCTGCGGCGGCGGCCCTTCCACCAGAAACCGAAGGTACGTGCCATCGATTGAGAGTATGAAGCTAAACGACGCTCAAAGCAGAGTCGTCGCGGACAATACCCATGGGCGATCACTCGCCAACGAAAAAGCTCAAAATCGCCGAAACGGTCATTCGCAAGCTGTACAAGAAAAACTTGGAGCTCGAAAAGGCACTAGTACAAGCGAAAGCGGACAATCAAAATCAGGCCCAGCCAGCACCATACGAGTAAAGGAACAGTCATCATGACAGCATGGGAGTTTTTGTGAGCTACCGTCGGGTAGGCCAACGTTGGACAAGCCACCCACGATAGAAAGCGTGCAAGGCATCGAGTCTCAAAAGGTGAAAACCTGCATGCGTCCTCTACCTACTGTTACAGTAGCTTTGAATCTTTATTTCAATTCCATTGTGGTAGGACGAGTACTTAAAGTATTTGGCCGCAGAGCAAGACAAGACGATCCAAGAATTGAAGCGGAAAATCGAGACTCTCGCCGATGTGCGTCGTGAATGAAATAAATATCAAAAAAAGGGGCAAAGTGAAGAATCCTGGCTCACGAATATGGTTGGTGGTAGGCACAAGACGCCCGAAACCCAGGCGGCAAAAGTGCAAACTCAACCAAGGCAGCCGCGATTTCTCGCCTGGAAAAGCGGCTTCAGGTATGTATTAACGATAATACATCACATTCAAAATCAATATATGAAACTACTACTTCGAAGTATATATATATTGTCGATTTGATACAAATTTGGAGAGTGGGTGCGCCGACCAAACCGATCCACAATCGATCTGATTGGTTGAATTTCATTGAGAAGGTTTTAATTGGCTAATAATTTTGAGCTCAACTGAGGTAGCCAATCAAATCGATTTAAATTCCAACGAGAAACCACGCCATAACACAATGAAATTTCACTCGAAAGCACAATATATATATATATATATTTAAAAAATGTGAAGCTTATAAAGTATTCAATAAACGTCACTTTGACGTGTACTTGTCACACTCAGGAGGCAATTGGAGAGTCGAGTCGCCAGAAACAAAGCTACATGAAGCTCAAAAGCGACTACAAACGGCTCCTCTTGCAGCGAACGCGGTCAATTTCCGGCAGTTCCGAGGTCGGATCTCTCTCAACATGCCACGTGTTCACACCTAAAATGGGACCGATAGATTGACTCCCACGCCCGGGAATTGCTCGCTTTGATGGAGAAACGATTGCTCAAAGTCGAAGACGAGCGAGAGCAGGACATGGCGCTGTACAACATGAAATTGTATGACCGTGTGACGTGGCACGCTGTATTGTCTTTGTTTTACCCCAAATTTGGACTTTTGTGCTATTCGCCAAATCTAATTCATTGTATTACTGACTTTTGCATGTCAAAACGGTGTCACACACTCATTCGATGTTGATTGACGAGTGGATGATTTGATTGGCTACTTGATTAGTGATGATCTGGGTTTTGATTGGTCGTATATCGATTGTCTCATTCGATTGTGAGCACCACCACCACCCAAACACTCCAATTTCGAATATATCGACTTGACAATACCACGAGTTTACATTGAACTCAACTGGCCAAGTAGATTTGAAACGGAGCAGCAAAACTGCGACGACTACGTGGCCAAGAAAATGCTCGAAAACGAAATGGCCAAAGTGACTACCGACGTCAAGGAGCGCGACAACCTGGACGACCAAATCGAGGTGATATATATATATTAATAATATTATTAAGAATATCCTTGTAGAAATGCATGTTGGGGGTGTTTGAGCGGCTGCACCAAGTCGAGCAGGAAAACATCCAGTTGCGAGACTCGATCAAGGGAATGCATCGTCAACGTTAACTTAATCACGAGATGGGGAGATAAATATGAGATCGTCGTCCATCTCGCGTTCGTGTTGGAGGACACGATCTGTGGGACGAGGCGGGGGGGCGATGGGACCAGCACGGCCGCCGGACACGGTGTCCATGATGGTGGCCAAGGAATCAAAGAAGGATGCGTTGATGTTCATCGACCAACCGCGACATGCACCAAGCCTTCCATCGGCAACCACGTCGGTGGCTAGCGTAATAATTGAAACTATTGCACCAACCAGGGCACCCGCGATGACCCCGCCGGACAGGTAGACGAGCCAAGACATGTCGTCGGGCATGGGGAGGTCGGGCGGGTCGATGGTTTGACTGGTGGCGGCGGCTTCGTATTGGATCCACTGCATCCACATATCGCGGACGCAACAGGTGTGTAGGGCTGCCGCTTCGCCTATCAATTGGGCTCGTTGTCGTTGAAGCGAGGTTAAACGTGACCAGTCGGCCTTGGAAGCATTCATGGACGGCCAGGTTGGAGCGCGAACGTGTTGACCAATGTCACTAAGGGGAGGGACCGAGTGGGGAGAGTGGTTGGTGTGGCCAGTCCACATGGCTTGCAAATCCCCCAGCGCCACAACGTACACGAGTTGGTCGTCCAAAATCGCTTGCTTGACAAGCTGCCACGCGTGTATTTCGTTTTGCATCATCCGCTGGAGATGCTCGAGATGCTCTTGCACGGCCAAATGAGATGTAGACGCGGCGGGGATGTGCCGCTTGTTCATGGCGGCGACTATCCCTCGGTTTTTCACGTTCGCTTCTAGCTGGTCCAGCGCAGGAAGCATCGACGCATGCAGTTGTTCGATGCAGACTTGGCTCCACCATCCCAGGACACCCACTGCTACCGCCACCATCAGCACCACCACGCGCATGTCGACATATTGCCGCTTCAAAGTGCCTTGGAAGGTGTCGCTTGATGGCAATAACTGTCTTGCAACAGATGGGCGTTCCATATGTGACACCGTTTTGGTGGGCGGCGGAGAGAATGATGTGGACCAGTCCGTCTCGAACGAGTACATCGCAAGTGGAGAACTTGTTGGTGACGACATGGGTGACGACATTGGCGTGGCAGGACGAGATTCCGGCGTCAACGAGTACGGACGAAACAGAAATACTGGATGGGACGGACTGAAGCGGCTGTGACATGGCTGCGGAACTATTTGCTTGTCTTCGTCAACGTCGTCGCAGGATTCCTCCTCGTCCCGCTCGGGTTCACTCGCGGTTGAAGCACTGCACGACGGAACGTCGACTGTCTCCATGACATCGAGGGAAGGATCCTCTGTCTCAACGAGAGCGGATGGCGCTCGGGAGGTACTTGACGGACCAGTTAAGACTTCTCTTGGCCCGTGTCGGATCGATGTGGACAATGGCTTGAGTGAAGTGTTGTGGCGCCGGGGAATCTTGGATCGCCCGAGTGGAAACCGTTGCAATGCAGGGGCCAGCTCCCTTTGAGCTTCCGTCTTCACTTGATCCAAGCTCGGAGTGTCCTGTGCACGACTCATACGCGTTGAGAGGAGTGGAATGCCCGATTGCTGGTTCGATTTAGCGTTCCAACGGCCAACGCGTGCTGCTGGTGATAGAGGTAGCGAAACTGGTAGCACCCGGTCGGGTCGTTGAAGCTGGTGCTCTGAAGCCAAGGCATCCTTGGTAGCTCTTCCATCGTCGCTCATGCGGAGATCATGCCCGTCCTCGGCTGAAGGACATCTCGGTCGCGACATGATCGTCGAGATTGTGAATTTGTGTCTTCCTTACTTGGTGCGACAGTGTGAGAGACTTTTGCGGAATGGAGGTCATCCGGATACCTAACCGGAAGAAACCAGCATACAGACCATCGTTTTTAGCTCCATTGACAGTCAGGATTTCTCGCCATGGCGACCCGCCGGCATGTTGATAGCATCCTGCAGCCTGCGTCTGGATGGGTGGACGGCGAAGCCGAGATCTATGACAGGCATCCATCCATTCTGCAGGACGAACGCATGACGAGGTGGGACGCGTCGACGACATTTCCGCGTCAAGTCCGCTTCATCACCTGCGCCGTCCTGTTCGCCATTGGCACCGCCAGCTTCATGTACAGGAACATGTTTCTGCATGAGACCCGCGAGCACACTATTTTGACTCAGATTCGGCGATCCATTGTTGAAATGGACGCAATTGCCGCGACGGCGACGGCGATGGAGCGGCATGTCCAGCGGCTCGCCTCCCTCACACAAACTCACCTCGACCAAGCGACCAAAGTCGCCGACACGAGCCTGAACGATGGCAATGCAGTGCGTCCCGACGTTCTGTGGTCTGAAGTCGACGCCATCCACGCCGACACCATGAAGCACATGGAATCGATGCTCCATGAGGTTGTGCAAACCACTCTCCAAGACGTCCTCGACCTCTCGGCGGCGTGGACAGCAAACCATCCACCCACTCCTCCGCCGTCTTCCTCCGACGTCGTCGTCGTCGAGCCCGTTGCCATCGTCGACACGCCAGATCCGAACAACCCTATCACAGCAGCCCCTCCACAAACGGAAAACAATGTCACAACTACCACCAACATCGACGTCGCCAAGAAGCCTACCTCCCCTCCGATTGTCGTCGATCATTCCCCTGCAACTTCCCAGCCAAACACAAGCCCGACGCGAAGGCCAGCAGGTAACCCCACGCACTTCGTCGCATTCACGATGGTCGGGACGGTGGCCATCGCCGGCTTGTTCGTGTACTGGATGCAAACTCGCGGGTCGTTTCTTCAGAATCGACTGGCCTTCCAGCAAGGCACCCGCCGTCTGCAGAGCCTCGTGACATCAGCCCACCAATGGGGTCTGGGCGTGCTTGGCCGCTGCCGGGCGTCGAGTGCGTCGACGTGGCGGGGGATGTTGGACAGCTTCATGAATCTTCGAGATTGGTGGCGCCGAGGCCGCCGGGAGGTGGAGGTCGAAGACGTGAGCGACGACGACGATGACATATCGTTTTACCCCCAAACGCCAATACCCTCCAACAACCCATATGCCAACAAACCCTTGTACGAAGACAATGGACTGCCTCGCAAGCACATTAGCTTTGCCGTACGTTACAGTAGGAAGAAGCTATCTCACTGAGATCACGAATGCATATTGGTTGTAGGATGTGGAGAGCGACGACGAGGAGTACGAGGATGACGAGGCCGATGCGCCGCCGCCAACGCGCCGGCCATCGCATTTGGTCCGCACCAACTTGTACGAGAACCTTCTGACGCCCGAGCCAGCGACCGCCAGAGTTTATCATGTAAGACTAAACGAAATGACCAGTGATTGCAATAAAGCTCAACTGGACCAATCGTAGGACGAATCCCCGAGACGGCGATCGAGTCGGCGGCATGCAACGACTAGCGGCGGTCGCGCGTTTGGATAACTAGGGACTCCTTTTTAATATTATTGGGGTTAAATATCGATGTAACGTTATGAATAACCCCTGGAGGGTGCGGGAAATGACCAAACCAGCGAAACTCGATTGAATTGGCAGCATACTGTACCACGCAGCTCGATCGCACTACTGTAGCTTTTGTCCTACCTGATAGACAACACTAGGGGCTGAGGACTTTCGATTGGCCTTCCGACAACCTGGAACGCATGGGGACGGCTACTGTTGTACTATTAGTAGTAGTACTAGTACTAGTAGTTAGTGACTTCACCTCAAACTGTACATTGAATTGTGAGAATTTTTAAAAACCAAGTAACATAATAATATAACATTGCTTCAAATATGACTTAAAGTTAGTCATAATTTATGATCAACTTTGTCAACTAAGAAAGTACATTTTGACTTTGACATCGAATATCTCTCTGACGGCTTGTCTACGAGCAGTGTAATGAAAGTAGATATTGCAAACTTACTTGCAGGCTATCGTTCAAAGCTAGAAATGTGGCGATTGCAACATTGTAGCATGAGTGATGAGTCCTCAAAGTAACTAAAAACCTAAATATAACCTACTTTGCAAGTAAATAACTCGATGAATATATATTGTAGCAACCTGCATGATACGTCGTTATGTAGAGATACTGCATGTGAATATACGCGAACTGAGTCTCGGACTGATCGGTTTACTTTGGCCCATGTTGTGTGACTTTGAAAGTGGCTGTCTCAAATACAATATTTATGTTGACCAACTTTGTGAGCTATGTTTGCTTCCAAATATAACGTTAGCATCACATAACATCGTTTTGATGTGTTGTTTAAAAATATCTATTCACGCCATGATAATAATAATTTCGAAGAGAAGGGCGACTCCATAGAGCAAGGCAGCGAAGAATGCGACAACCAATGTCAACGATCAGGTGAAGTATGAACTAATCCGATCGTGTAAGCTCCATCGAGTTCGTTCTTACTAATATGATCATTTCCCTCACCCTTCCTGTTGAAGGGAATTATGAGATAACTCAATCCGCTAATCAAACATGCTCAAAGTTTGCGCAAATAAGTGCAGTATATTGCGAAAAACCACCCAAGCCAGCCAGGGGTTAAGGCATCTCCAGTGGTTAGCGATAGCTTACCACTAGTGATGCACTTAGCCCCGGGAATGACATTATACTTCGAAGAATGTGCCCACCGGGGGTACGACGCAGTCCCAGGTTACAAGGATTGGTAAAAGTGTCCCGTCTCCTTACCTCAGGAATTCATATGGAATTTTGTATGCTCGCCCCACCTCACCAGTACATATACTGTTGAGGTGGGCCGAGCATACAAAGTTCCATATAAACACTCATATTGCATGCAGTGTTTTCTGAGAAAAACAACAGTGGAACTTTTTTAATGAGGGAATTGTACCACAGTTTGTTGACGAGTTGTACAATTATGCCATAAACAGCAGTTGGTAGGCGGTCATTTGACACGGTTCAAACCGTACTTAGCACGTAAATAATGCCCCCCTGGGCCCCTGCTACGTCCTCGGGCTAGAACCAATGCAGCTGAGCCCATGAAGGTAAATGCGATGTACACCTGACACCAGTTCATAGTGTTGAGAGCACACTCCAAACCTTTCCGACAACGATCCACTAACTACAAAACGAACCACGTCATCACATGGTGAACCATCAATCCCGAACGGCCAACAGATGGCGACTCAATGCAACTTCGATAGCCTTCCACCCACCGTCCGCCAGCCTCCAAATCTCACCATTCCTCATTTGTGAATAGCTACCGTATCCATCGACCACATCAAGCTCATCTCCATCATCATGGTTGCCATTGGAGACTCGCTGCCCGCTTTGACCTTGAAAGAACTCGTGACGGTCGAAGGCACATGCGCCCTCGGTCCCCGAGACGTCGACATCCGCGCTGAATCTGCCGGGAAGACCATCGCACTCTTCGCCGTGCCGGGGGCGTTCACCCCCACGTGCTCCAACTCGCACGTGCCCAGTTACGTCCAGCTCCACGACGAGCTCAAGGCGGCGGGCGTCGACGAGATCTGGTGCGTCAGCGTCAACGACGCGTTCGTAATGGGCGCGTGGGGCACGGCCCAAAACGCCGACGGGAAGGTCCGCATGATCGCCGACGGCGACGCCGAGCTCACCAAGGCGTTGGACTTGGTGTTGGACCTTGTGGGTAAGGGCTTGGGGGTACGCAGCCAGCGCTACTCGATGCTGGTCAAGGACGGCGTCGTGAAGGCACTCAACATCGAAGACAACAAGACCCAGAACTCGTTCGCCCCGCTCTTGCTCGAGCAAGCCCTCGCGTCCCCTTAAGCCATACTTGAAGTACTAGTTTGACACATACAAAAGAATACATATACACGTCCTTCCAATGAACCCTTCTGATCCCCCTCCTGCTTGCATGCAAACATGGTACCTCTTGCCCCCACGTTGGTTGGTTGTGTGCTCATCACATTGCAAGCTGTGGCAATCTACTTACACAGCTACTTACACAGCCAGCCACCTACGTACCTGCACATGTAAATGCATCCACCAAGCATGGGAAAACGCATTGCGTCGCTGACAAGGCGACGATGATAATGATGGTATGCTTCACAAGCGAATGTTATAGGGTACTACAATTTACATCCGTTGCTGCTGCTAAACACGGGGGACCCACGACATATCTTTGGTTTTGATCTTCTCAAACACAAACGACTCCATGCCGTTCATGTCCGTGTCGTCCTTGGCCTTGAGGTACTTGACAAAGAAGAAGTAGTTGAACAGGTTGTGCTTGGTGTCTGTGTGTCTCGCAAACGAGTTCATGACACCGTTGGCCATGCCTTCGGCCTCGATGACCGACCGCGACCGATTGCACACGAGGCACTGCTGACGCTGCAGTGTCATCTTGTTCTCGGACGCCTCGCGCACCGCCGTGAATGCATCGATGATGATCCCTTGGATCAAGTTCAACAGCAGCACGATCACCACCACGTAAAACCCCAGGTCGTACCCCACACGCCCAAAATACGACGCCTTGACTGTGTAGTTTAACGGACTGTGCGACATGTAGTCGCCAATGCCGCCGCCGCTCAGCAGCCCTGCGACACGGTGGGTTGTTAGTACACTACTAGTAGTAGATACTACTAGTATGTCATAGTACCGTTGTGGACATGGGTGACAAAGCATTGCATGAGCGAGTGGCATTCTTGGGTGCCGCTCTCGGTGGTCATTTCATCCTGGAAAAAGTAGAACCCGTTCAACGCAAATACGTAGATCACCACAGCCCCAAACACTGCCGTGACCGTCAGCTTGGACGTGTTGGTTGTCATGGCTTTGACCTACAATAGCCACACCATATCAAATGCCCATAGTTTGCCAGCAACGACGTACGACAAATCGCAGCCCGGCGTTGATAGCCACGAGGTCGAGCAGGGGAAAGCCATAGTACAAGTATCGGTTCTCGGTCGCAATGAGCCCGAGGAACCCACACGTCGAGTACGCCAGAAAAGCCAGCACGCTTTCGGAAAACAGAGTGTCGTATATCACGCTGTACCAGAATCGAAACTTGGTCTTGAGCATGCGATTCCCCAGCTTGACCTTCATTTCGTCATACGAGGACTCGGAGTTGACGGAGAACCGAGACACGCTGGCCACTTCCCGGACGGCGCGGAGGGTCGAAAGGACGAGCGCGGCCGCCGCCACCGAGCAGCATGTCACGCTTCCGTACGTGTCCCATCCATTCACATATACCACCAGCGACACGGTCCACGCAATGATTTCTATAAAAAAATATGTACAAACAATATATTATATATCACAAGAATGTGGTTGGGTAAACAATATATCAAATAATTATAAATCACAAGAAAGTGGTTGGGTAAACAATATATCAATATTATATATCACAAGAATGTGGTTGGGTGGGTACGAGCATACACAACCATTTTCTATTTAAAAAATATAAAAAATGAAATATAGTGGAGAAATATATCATACATATCATGAAGTAGTCGTTCGTCTTTGGAAACTAGACATTGGTATTTTTCAAAGTCTCATAATAAGGGTGAACTTGGTCATATATAATATATATATATATATATCGAGGGTGTACGAACCAAAGCACTGGATAGGGCCTTGCCACGCGTCCCACACGCGGTCGTTGATAGCTTTGGGCGATCGAAAGTGCAGCTTTGTGAGGGAAAGTTGCTGTTTGCAATAGTTAAAGTTGAACTGTTTGGTCACGTAGAACCCGAGGAGGACGAGCGACCCAGCTAAGTAGACGGCGCCGAGTACTTGGAGAAACAAATATGAGCCCGGTTGGTCCCACCGCAGCAGCAACAGCATCACAAAGTTGATGTAAAAGCACAAGCTTAGCAGTCTCTTGCGCAGGTCCGTCTGCCACCGCGCGAGAAACGCATACACGGCATGGCGCCGAAGGTGTTTGATCACTTTGAGCTCTTCTTCAATGCTCCTACACAACATCAGTCCATTTCGTGTATGCCATGCATGCATCGCTGATAGATACGATATGGCACGCACTTGGCCGTTTCAGAGAGCAGCACTTCCATGGCCTTGTCGCTGCCAATGTCCATCGCATCTAGCAGCTCGTTCTGGAGCAACTCGTCAAAGTACATGGCATCGGCAGGTTTGACAAAGTACAAAGTCGTGAGGCTGCCGTGCACAACCAGCTCGATCGAGATGAGCTGCGCGTGGAAGAATCGGATCGGGCCGAGGGCATTGCGGTCGTCGATGGCGCCGTCCCACTGCGTGCGGAACCCCTGGACCGACCGCAAATCAAACTGCTTCATGGCGCGGTTGATATTGACCACCTTCTTGATGGCCGTTTGCAGGGTCACGTTGTCCGCCTTAGAGTGCTTGGACAGGTTCCGCACAGCGCGCTGGATCCGGTTCCGCATGGCCAGCTTGTCCGTGGGGTCTCCCGCCGTCACCAAGAGCGACCCCGACGGCTTGAGCATCCGGCCTTCGTCGCCGTCGTCATCATCGCTGCTTCCGTACGAGAGCCCCAAGTGGTCGTCAAAGAGGACATCCGCCGTCGCTTCGAGACTCATGATGCGCACCGCCACAACCAGCAAACTCATGGCGCGGATATACAGCGGATGCCGGTGAATGTCGTCTCGTTCAAACGACAGTTCTGGTCCAAACATGCGACACAGTTCACGGTGACATGTGACCAGCCGGTCCACGACCTCCACGGGGCTGAACAGCCGCGCCAGCTCGGCGTTGACGGCATTGTCGCTGCGGCCTTCCATGAGTGACAGAAGCACCTCCGACGCCGTCTGGTACGTGGTGACATCCAGCGCTTCTACCTGCGACGAGGTCGTTGGGTCGGTGAGGAGCACGCTGCAACACAACGCTGTCGCAGGCGTGGTCACCTACAAACGTCGTTCATATACATCTTTCAACTAGAATTAGTACGTACGACATATGCCTGATTTTCCACACACGGGCCCTGGCAGGCTTCGCTGAGACATCGCATGCCCTTGACAAAGAGCGGGTCGGATGGCTTGGTGACTTCCATGATGCGGACGATGGCGGCGAGGACGGTCGTGTCGTCGCACACCTCGGCCATCATGGTCTGCCACACAGGGTTGTGGTTCTCACAGAGCAGCTGCACGATCGATAGGGCCAGCTTTTGGTAGTGCACAGAGAACTTGTTGAGTGATGGCAACCGGATGTACTTGAGCAGGAAGCGCAGCAGGATGTCCTTGCGGTCTACGTCGGCCGTGTCGTCGTCGTCGTCGTCGTCGTACAGCTCGAGCATCGCTCGGTACAGCGAGTTCTGCGCCGGTTCGTATCCGCCAGCAATGAACTCGTAGATGAGCTCGAGGAGCGCCAGCTCCGGCGCATCCATGTTGACGGCGCTCTTGGCCCCCGAGTCCGAGGGTATCGTGGCTGCTCGCTTCAGACCTTTCTTGACCACGGGCGCCACCTTGGGCGTCATGCTGCGGATGATGAGATGAGCCACCTGCGCTTCCACTGCCAGTTGCTGGGCATGTTTCCATTCCTGCTTGGCGTAGATGAGCAGCCGACTCGTGCGCTCGACTTCAAACGACACGCGCCATTTGCTCGCTGGACTATGAGGGACGTTGGTATTATCGTCTCCACCGTCCTCTTCCACGACGACGTCGGCGGCGCCACCACCGCCTTGAACGTTGATGGACGGGAAGTCCAAGATCGAGTCGAACGATTGAAGGGGTGGACCGGACTTGGTGCGTCGGATCTCGCGCTGCGTTAGTTCGTGGGCCAGCGGCTCGTTTCTTCCTCAGGAGTGTCGTGATGCCTCGGATGCGGCGCGCTTCGACATGTTCCCGCAACTCACGCTGCATGTTCTCTTCGTCCGTCACGCGGGTTGGACTGTCTGGAAGTGGAGCTGCTGCCGCGCTTCCATAGGACGATAAAGGAACGTCACCAATCGTGGCCTTCTCCGCCCCTACCTGCGGCCCACTAAGTTGGTTGCCCATGCTTCAACGTTGAGTTTCTTTGCGGATGATTGACTGGGGCTGGCAAGGTGGATACACACCTAATTAGGAACTTCGTCGTACATACGTCGAACGACCGAGTGCCACGTATGGTAGCTCAATGGTACAAGTGATGATTCTCATGAACTTCCTGTTGTACTTGTGCAGTACCTCGAGAGCAACGTGCATCAACTACTACGCCATGCGTCCCCATATATATTGCGACCGTTGCTTTTTACTAGAGTCCTATTTTAGTTGATTTCGGATCTATCCGAAATGAATTTGTGTCGCAGCAAATTGTACTATTATAATATTTTAATCCTAGGTAGTAAACTACGTACTAGTATTAATAGTATTAATAAAAACCAAACTCCACATTAAATTACATAGGACGCCACCACTCAATAGTACCCACCACGTCCAGTAGCCTACCACCACGAGATCAAGTCAACGTCGTGTATCCTTATCAATCACGTATAAATGTATGTACCTCCTCCAAGCGCGGACTTCGTCGCACACTACGGGGCGTTGGCTGGAACTTCAAGTGCCGCGTCACGTCGGGGGTCTACATATTCTCATACAAAGTCATATTCACATCAACGACACCAAATGTGACAGAGTCGAAAGTGCACATTCCTTCCTACCTTGGGCCCCACGTCGCGTGCTATGATAAAAACATCGTCGTCATCGTCACTATACTCGTCGTCACCGGACGAGGACGACAGCACCGAGTGGTCATCTCGGCCCATGTGCGGGATAAACACAATATCGTCCGAGTCGACACTCAAGTGGACATGCCGCAGACGCCACAGCATCCACATGAGCACCACGATTCCCAGCTCGACCAACAGAATCGAGTGCAGGAACGTTTTCGCGGCTCCGACTTCGCTTGTCCAAGTATCCACGGCACGGTTGTGCTCGACCGTCCACGCTTCCAAGTCGTCCTCAAGGAGTGCCACGTCATGGTCGGCCGCCAGCTGGACGCCAAGGCGGCACATTTCGTCGCCGTCTGTCGCACACACATCGTTGTCGTCGTTGCTGGCGTTCAAGTAGCGCAGCAGCTCCATCTCCATGTCGGCTTTGGAGTTTCGGAGGAGATGGAGCGTTGCTTGGTCTTGTTGCACGCGTTGCTGGATGGTGTGGAGAAACTGTGGTAGACTTGTTGACGGGTGGCTACTCCCAGCAACGTTGCTGGAAGCCAAGCCCACTTGGGCCAACGTCGCTTGAGCTGACGTTTCAGTGGAGTGTTGGACTTGTTCTAGAACGGACGCCAGCGTGTCTTGGACGTCGGCCATGGCGAGGGCGTTGCGCTCTTTTGTAAGGACAAAGGTGTCTTCCAATTCCTTTTGCATCAACGTCGTATCTTGATGCAAGTGGCGGGCGTTGGCGTCCAGATCCCGAGCTAACGACGCGCCCCACGACGCCAATCGCTGGTCGTACGCCGCCGCCTGCAAAGTCAGGCTCTCGACGTCTGCGACCAGATGGTGCAGTTTGGACTGTACGAGGCTCGTTTGACTGGCTTGAACGTGCAGGGCGGCCGCGGCTACGGCCACACACCCCGCGCCCACGATGGCTCGCAACAGTATGTCCACCCAAGACATCGACGACGAGGGTGATGGTGGGCCTGGTGCTGTGCGAGGCTCCGCAGTTGACCTGATCGTGGGTACCCCAGGTAGAGACGAAGTGACAGAGGTGGCGTGAGGCAGAAGCAGTCCGGTTGGGTCTCGCGCTTCCCCCAAACCCTCGTGGATCGCAGTCTTAACCGCAGGGGAAACGAAAACGTTTTGGGCTGGGGCGTTCGGGGGGATGTCGGCAGGTGGAGACGAAGTGACAGAGGTGGCGTGAGGCAGCAGCAGTCCGGTTGGGTCTCGCGCTTCCCCCAAACTCTCGTGGGTTACAGTCTGATCTTGGGCTGGGGCGTTTGGGGTGGTGGTGGCTGTCGGCGACTCGAACAAGGCGGGTACGGCTACCGTTTCGCCGTGCGTCGATGTGAGTTGACTCGATGGGTGGTCGAAACTGCCGCCTGACGAAATAAACTGTGGCGACGGGGGAGGACTGACGTAATCAGGTTCCCATGCCCACTCGGCCATCGGATCCGCCGTGATGGGGCTCGAAGGAGCGGACACTTGCGACAGGGGGGTGCCTGGGGCAATATTATCAGCCGACTGGGATGGTTCTGATGTGGCCATATCTACAAAGTTGTCACGGGCAGTTGGGTGTAGAGGGGACACGGCCCAGTGATGTGAAGGGGGCGGGGGGGTTGTAGGCTGCACCGGCGTTGTAGGGGTTGTATATATTGGCGTGGTTGTGGGAGTCGACTTGGTTGAGTTGTGTTGGTCTGGAACTCCCACATCTGTTTGGTGGGTGGTCGCGTATGGTTCCTCTTGATGCGGATATCGTAGCCCACCATACCCTTTGGGGGTGTGCACTGCGTTGAGCTCAGGAGCCCTGAAGGAGCTGGGAGATGATGTCGAGATGGGTTGAGGAGGTGTGAGGCCCAAGAAGTTACGTCGAATAGGCCGTTGGCGAAGCTCAGTCGTGGCGACCTCTTGTAGCTCATGGAGGGGTTGTTGCCGTGGAGAAACGGCGTCCACGGAGGTCAAAGGTGTCGAGGGTGGTGTTGTCTGTGGTGGCTGTCCAAGGCCAGGCGATTCATAAACATGAAGAATGGGAGGTGTCGACGGATGGTGGACACGGGGCGACACGGGGTGGATCAAGTCCAGGTCCAGGGCATAGGGGACTTCTGGGCGCGACGACGGAATGCCAGACGTTTGGCTTGTCAAGAGCGGCGAGGCTTTGGGGGACACATGTTGGTGGGTTGACGTGGGAGGGGACATGGCGGTTATGGTCATCGGACTGAGTGGCTCCAGAGCAAGATACGGGCGAGTCGAGTCGACGGGATTATCCACGGGCGAGGCCTCGTAAGTCGACTCTACCGCCACAAGCTCGTCGAGTTCATGTAGACATTTCTCTGGATCATGGTGGTCGGTGGATGGAGATTGTTGGTCGATCCACATGTTATTGTCATCGCTGGCAGGAGATGATTGATGCCACCTATCGTCGTAACCTTGGTCGGATGGAGCTTTCTCTTGATATGATGGACAGTCCTCAACGTTGCTTCGAATATCCAAGTTCGTGGCCTCGTCAGCGTCGTTGGGTTGTAGCGTTGAACGACCCTTCTCACTATCGCCAGTCGGGCTGTCCTGGGGCGAGTTCGGAAAGAGGTTGTCATGTGAGTCTTCAGTTGTCCACAGCCCTGCTACCTGCACTTCCGACGACATGTTGGCTTCATGTTGGGGAGAGCTACATGCAGACTGATTGGACAGATCGAGGCCTTGGTCACGACTAGCTAGCAACGTCGGCTCAGTCGTTTCAATGTGTTTGTATTGCGCCACATCGTTGCCATTTCCATCTGAAAGGACCTCATGATCGTCCAGGTCTTCTGGGGACATCACAACACCATCAAATGCTGAGTGATCCATGGCCAGGACGTCTTTCTCAAACTCAACGTGTTGGTTCTTGTCGTCGGCGACGTCATCTTCTGTGGGATGGATATGGCCATTTTGATCTCTGTCCCACGTCTCACATTTGTCAGTAGGGGCATCGAAGTTGTTGTAATCGTCAACTGCATCTATCCCCCCTTCTTCAAAGTCCAAATCCCCTTTGGAGGTAGCCGAGGCCATCACCTTATTCCCTCGAGAAGGGACCGCGCCATCTTCGTCGGGGCGCCAAGACTTCGTCTGGCTTTTGGATCGATGGAGCTGTCGTTTCCCCTCTTGTCCGTGGGAGCTTTCTTGGGACTTGCTGCGTTGAGCTCTGCCCCTCACTCCTTCCACTCGCCCTTGCCGGGATCGACTTTGCACCTGCAGCTGTTGGTCTGCAGACCGCTTGGCGGCGCGCTCGGCCATCGCTCGTTGGTGGTTCAGGGAAGCAATCGTATGGGCTTGGTACACTGGCACGTGGTGGTGACGGGACGAAGTGCTGTCCACGGGGGCGTGCTGGCGACTGCTGTTGGCACGTTGGTTGGGATTGAAAGTCGCCGGAATGACTTGCTTGGTGGATGTGTGGTGATCGTCGTGGTCCATTCCAGGAGAGCTAAAGTCCAGCTTGATCGCGAGTTTTCGACGGTTTGGAGGCGTTTCGGGTGTCGGCACTTCCGTCGGGACAACTCCGCCGCCGCCGGCATCGTCGTCGTGGTCGACGTCGCCGCCATCTCGTTGTCGAACATATTTCTCTTCGATGGGTCCGAATTGGAAGTTGCGAAGGTGCCGCGAGGATGGACGTGGTGGGTCATTCACCGACGTCGCTTTCGGTTCATGGCACAGTCGGCGTGTATGCTTTGCATCCCCCAACGACGACAAGGCGATGTCAGACGGGACCGTTTGCTTGAATGACGCCGGCTGTCGGTCAAGAAGCCGAAGCTTGTCCACTTTGGATGTCATGGTGTCGTCGCTCGTTTGATTGCTCGAGTCGCGTTTGGCCCGCCACGCGAGCAGTTGCTCCATCCGCTTCTTGGCAGCCCGGGTTTCCTCCTCGGTCGTGGTGGCGGCTTTTGAGGTCTGTGCATGCTGGGTTTGATTTGACCATGACGGTGGTGCTGATGGCTGTGCGCCTACACGACCGTGGTTCTTCGTCTCATCCTTCTGCAGCTTGACGCGTGACGATGACATATTCACATGCATGGGGGTGTGCCGCCGCTTGCCGCCGACAACGTGACGTCTGTCAAAAAACAAGAGGCTCTATGCCCCAAGGATTTAACCTCTATGTTTTTATATCCGGATATTATCCGTCTGTGTGGAGTGATATCATCCTTTTGATTTGCCATTTTGTCGACAGTACCCGACCAAGTGAGAGAGTGGCTACACAACACACGTCCATGAGCTTTGTCCTCGGCAGTAGCGGGAAATCCTTAAGAGAGATAAGGATCAAGCTGACCTCGTACATAACATCCTGATTGCAATGGGCATTTCTTGTATGCTATCGTTTGTACGTCGATGTAAAAAATCGATTAATATCGTGATTGAAACGGTGAACGGTTACAAGGGCGTTTCGCCAGTTCAACGTATTTGGAAGATCAATCACAAAATATCGAAAGGTCGCGAACATTAGCATTTCAAGACAACGAGGCACCATGGACGAGGTGTGGGAAGCCATGAAGCGCGAACATGGAGTGAAGCCTCTGCGAAAGCCAATGCCCAAAGTTGAAGCAAAGAAGTCCCCATTGAAAACAAAGAATCATCCAGACAAGTCCACCCCAGTGGACCCCGAGCCGACTTCCATTGTCCGGCCAACTTGTGTGGCTGCGTCGCATGTCGATTTCGACAATTCCGAGACTGCGTTGACTCCATTGTGTGCATCAGCAACCCTCATCACAACACCAGGGGATCTCATCACGAAATCTCAGCGTGACCTAAACAGTTTGAGCGACGAACAACAGGGCATCCGCAAACGCGCCATGGAGTCCCTTCAAGCTTCCCTGGCGGATGTGGACACGGTCACCCTCCACGCCGTCTTTCCAACCTTCGCCAAGCCACTGTTTAAGCGATTCAACGACCCCGTGGAAAAGGTGCGCGACTCGAGCGTCCGGCTCAGCATCCGCTTTGTCGCAGGGTACCCGGACCTGCTGCCCATCCTACCATACCTCATGCCCGCAATCGCAAACCGCATCGGCAGCACGTGGGATTACGATGAAAAGCTCAACATCTTCGTGCAGGACGCCGTTCTGCTCGCAGCGCACAACCGCGGCCGCCTCTTCGTCCCGGAAGCCGACGTCCAGCGCATCAAGCCGCGGGAACCGTCCGAGGAAGTTCGCCTACTGTTTGTCGAGTTGCTGCAGACGTTACTCGCCACTACGTTCGACCAGAACGCGTCGTCCCTCCTCAACGCGTACGTGTATGACACCATCCGCGTCCTCGTGTACGGCCTCCACGATTCTTTTCCCAGCGTCGTCATCAAGACGTGCGAGACGCTTGTGCTCCTAAGTCTCAACTTGGTGTCTGTGGTCAAGCACTTCGCCGTGGCGCTGGTCCGGGCGACCAAGCATCTGCTCGAACATCGCCTCGCCAAGGTGCGCGTAGCAGCCATGCTCTGCATCCGCACACTGGTGATGGTGCCCAACGTGGACAAGTGCAAGGGCGCGGGCACGGAAGCTATCATGGACCTTGTGGCGCACCAGGACGACAGCGTGATCCCCGTCGCGGCGTTCTACACGGCCGAGATTAAAGTCAACTTGTTTGCCAAACTCGATCAAGATGGCAACGTTCTCGTAAGGCAAACGTTCTTTGACACGATCACGATCTGGTTGCTGCAATTGCCCGACCGATACGACTACGAATCCAGACTCATGCCATACCTCCTGAGGTACAATCTTTTCCCCCTTGACTTTGCGACCTTGCACCAGTAGCGTGAAATCCCAACTAATGGTGGTGGATGGTGGTGGTAGTGCTGTGGCCGATGATTGTCCTTCAATCTCGTCCAATGCTATCGACACTATTGACATTCTGGGCAAACGCCACGCTGCAGAGCACCCTGATGAGGTACGCACAATTGGATGGTAAGCGGGGTGGGTGTATTTCTTGTGCTATATTAGGTGATTGAGCGCACGCAATATGCAGTGGACGGAGGCCTCTTTTGCAACTTTACCAAGCCGTACCCGGCCCCCTTCAGTGGCCGACCTTCCCTTGGCACGCGCCTGTACATTCGTGGCCGATGCCGCCGTTTTATCAACGTACTTCCCTCGCTCTCTCCATCGTATACATGGCGATTGAAATCAAAACTTAGACGCTGCTACGGGAACTCAACCATTGGCAAGGTCCGACTCGGGTGCATGCGTCGCGATTGCTCGTGTGTCTGTTGGTGTATTGCGAAGACACGATTACGGTGGACTTGCACCTGATTCTGCCTCATTTGATCCAATGCTGGGATGATGTCGTCATTCGAACGTCCCTTGGCCAAGTCGCCGACTGCTGCGGCCGGTTCACCCAGCCAGCGTCGTACATATCTTTGTTCCTACCCTACATTCGTGGTGACACGCCGTCGCTCAAGATCGTGCCGGCGATGCAAGTACTACATGCGATGCTAGGTGGCATGAGTGGTGTGAACCGCACCAACCTCCTCGCGCAGCTGCCCCTACTCACGGAAGCGCTCACCATGAGGTTTCTACTCAACTCGACGTCGGTGCAAACCGCCCTAAGCGAGCTCGTGCATGGCATCGTCGGCCACCTTGAAGGTCTGTCAAGTTATTCCACTTGGATTGTCATAACTTCTCCCGGATAGGACTGTCAAATCTGGGCTGTGACCCGTCGTTTGAATCTCACGGCCGACTCGTGTCCAAGTCGTTACTGTTTGAACGGCTGTTGCGAATTCTGCTCACGTTGCCCGCGACCCTTCCGTACAATTACCATGTTTGTCGTGTACATGTACAGCTTAGTAAAACTAGACTACGAGTAGGCTTGTTCGAGCGACGATGACTGGATTGCAAACTGTAGCTGGCGTTCCCAACCTCTACGACACCTACTTTGAAGCGACGTGGGACCATTTACGAGCTGAATACCCCGTTGAGGCATGGGTAGACTGGTCGCCAACGTGCTACGAGCACAAGATGCTCGCGGCGGTGTTGGTTAGAGGAGTTTCCGCTCGTTGTGCTCAGCAACATGCGTTGCAAATCAACGACCTTCTACTGGCTATTTGGACTGCCCCCTGTGACGGTGACCTCGTTGTGAAACAAGAGCAACGTCGAGATTCGATCGCGATCGTCATTCTGGACGTGGCGGCCAAAGCAAAGGATACTGACGAGCTGGCATCGCTCCGGATGAATGCGACAGAGTGGCTCAACCAAAGAAGTAGCCCGTCCGTTTGATCGATGGCGTGCCACACTCTACACGATGCATGTCAAGGTTAACTTCGTCGATTCTAAGATTAATGGACTTTTTTCGTGTGATTTGGCCAGTTCACCGTTCCGGATGCTTGGTGCAGTATCCAGAATGTGATTATCGACATATTCAATGGGAATTATCCTATGGAGAAATTGAATTCTGGGCAAACTCCCCTGAATTTTGACATCAATCACTACCAGTGGGCATGATCCTCATATATCTAAATTAGGAAACGTTCCTGGTTTCCTATCTGCTACAATCCCACACAACACTTTGTTTGACAGCGAAACACAGGTTCATGATACTCGAGTAAACTGTAGGCGGATGATAATCAGAGACGCTATTACAATTGCGATGATCGTCATTTTCCAAAAAGCACCCAACCAACATGAAAGTCTTCGCTCCTCTTTCCGCGCTCGTCTTTGCGGCTGTCCAAGCCTCACACTCCGCCACGTGGATGGGTGCCACCCACCACATGCACTCGACTGCCGACGTTTGTGGCTCGGCGCACTTGAGCCAGTGTGACTTCCCCATGTCTGGCCGTCGTCTCGAAGAGTCGAGTGACTCAATCACTGTGTCCTCGACCTCGTTGGCGCATTTGGCCAAGGTGGACGTGACCTTTCACGTGGCCACTGGGAACGCCACCGATCGTGTGACGGCGTACTGCGCAAACAACGTCGCAGACACTGCGGACAGCGAGTACATCGACTTCCAACCTGCCAGTGGCAACCCCAAGGCCACGCTCACGTTTGGCCCACTGCTCAACATGCGCTGCGACTATCAATTCCGGTACCTCAAGAACCTGGGCAACAAGACGTTTCAAACCCTGGCGGTGTCGCCTGTTGTGAAGATGGTACGTGGCAACACGGAGCCCCTCCAAGTGCACATTGCCTTGACCAAGAACCAAGACGAAATGAGCATCAGCTGGACTAGCGACAAGGTGAAATGCCCCACCGTGCGTTACTACACCGAGACCGACAGTCGCGAGTCGGACGAGTTTACCTATGTGGCTGCCACAGGCGCTAGCTACACAGCGGCGGACATGTGCTCGGCCCCTGCCAACATCACGTCCGCCCAATTGTACATTCCGTCGGGGGTTCATTACACCGGTGTGATCAAGAACATCCCCGCCGGCGCCACGGTGACGTACCAAGTAGGCAGCAACGCCTCTGGGTGGAGCAAAATCAAAGAATTTGTCATGCCCGACTTGGCTTCGAAAGAAGCGTCCAGCTTCTTTGTATTTGGCGATGTGGGCACGTGGGTAACGGCCACCAACGGCACGGGTTTGCCGGGGCGGTCGGCGGGCACCCTGCAGCGCGTAGCCGACGACTTGGACCGGGGCGACCACAACTACCAGGCGGTGCTACACGTGGGGGATTTGTCCTACGCTGACAGCATCGGCTACGAGTGGGAGCAGTTTATGTCGTTGATCGAGCCCGTGGCATCGCAGCTTCCGTACATGGTGAGCGTGGGCAACCACGAGTACTGCTACTTGAACAGCACCAAAGCGATCGACATCTCGGGGGAAGCCAAGACGTTTTATGCGATAAAGCCCAAGGCGAGCTCGGGCGGCGAATGCGGCGTCCCCACGGCCCTTCGGTTCAACGTACCCGACAATGGCAACAAAGTATTTTGGTACAGCTTCAACGCTGGGCTGGCCCACCACGTGGTGCTCAGCAGCGAGCACGACTTTAACGCTGGCTCGCGCCTCCGTAAATGGCTCGAAGCGGATTTGGCGGCGGTCGATCGCACCGCGCTACCGTGGGTGTTTGTGCACTTCCATCGGTCCATGTACGTGTCCATGAGCGGCACTTTCACCTACACCGACATCCTCCGCCCTGCGCTGGAGCCGGTCCTCAAGAAGTACGCCGTCGATGCCTTCTTCAGTGGCCACACCCATGCGTACGAGCGCACGTGCCCCGTACTCGACCAAACGTGCGTGACAGGCCCCAACGGCGAGGCTAAAGGCCCCGTCCACATCATGATCGGGTCCGCCGGCAAAGCACTCGACCCCGAGCCGTGGGAGAGCCGGGCGTGGTCGATCAAACAACTGCGGACGTACGGGTACGGCCGTCTCCACGTGCACAATGCCACCCACGCCCAAGTCGAGTTTGTGCTCAACGCGGATGGCACGGTCGCAGACAATTCGTGGATTGTGTCCGACCACAAGTGGAACGTCGTCGCATAAATACATGGAAGCTCGGCCAGTCGTTGTCTGAAGTACAGAGGACAAATAGATCCTTTGACGCGATTGCTTGAAATATATTTGCAGTGGACAATTATTCACGTGTACCAGCAACGTTATAGCTCCATGGACAACTGGCTTGAGTCGTAAATAAGCTGGACGACGGCCGCACCGAGCATCTCTTGGTTATATTTCGAGCAAAACACACTGCCGTTCTTCAAAAATTTGCCCACATTTGATGGCTTTTATCTGGATGTCAGCCCATAAATTACGCCATAAACCAAGTCTGCAAAAATGTCCCAAAGTCTCATACAGTATCCCATGAAAAAAGGAGAAACGAAGTATCTACAAAGTATCTACAAAGTTATCTAGATGCCAGCTGAATTATAGAAAAATAATTCGATTTCGATTGAAGTACAAGAGTGCATCATATAAGACAGGCACGACACAAAACCGACAAAATTCGGCCCGTGATTGGATGACCGACAAATGATTGAACTCCGATTGGTCAGTAGTTTTTTCCGACAATCCGATTGGACGAGGCGGTTGTCGCAGGAGCAACATTTTACTAATATTTAACATGTACGGCTTTCAATTGATTGAAATACTGCCGAGGAGCATAAATAAAACGGCAAGTCGAACCAGTCGGAGTTCTGTTGTGGCCGGTGGGTTGGACCAAATCGGTCTATTTTTTTATGCTACAAAACACCCGATTCACAAGAAATTTGTGGCATTAATTTTTGAACTTTGGTGGCATCCAGACGCACAAAATCTCGATAATTGGAAGATTTCGATTTTGGCAACTTTTCTTCGAAAAAGAGCCAATTTATACCATTTTTGTGGCATCCAGACCCGGCCTAACAAATTTATATCCAGAATTATCAGAAATAACTAGGAGATGTGAAGCTCTTGTCAAGAAGGGGCACTTTGGCCATTCTTGCTTTGGCCTTTTTCGCCGAGGTTCGGTCACTTACGGATAATATCCGGTGTTCTTTCTCTGTACAGTTGTCCTCCAAGGTTTGCTCCCATGCAATGACATAAACTATTGCAGGAAGTTGATGACATAAAGGTAATACGAAATATTGAAATTGAAGGTTGTTTTGGTGGATAACCAGTGATTTACACATCAAATTCAAACTCAATTAAGCAATCGCTCCAGCGAATGACCGGAGCTAATGTAAAGAGACTGGAGGTGCTCCATCAACGGCGGTACAACCACCCATGGAAGTATTTGACTTGATCGGGTAGGTTGAGCTCGGTGGCGATTTGGAGCCCCTTCCTCGCGATTAACTCGCCAGTCACGCATGCATTCTTTGCATTCGCCATGAACACCCACTCGGCAACTTGTTTGTCCAATTTAGGGTATTTTGGCCCCCTGAAAGTTGTACCGACCCTTTGTCGACTCTTCCTTTATGTTATTGGTCTCGATCTTGCGCTTGTCCCTCAGAATTCGGCGAATGGTCGTGATGTGGAGCGTGTGGCCAACTTGTTCCGTGACCCACTGCTGCACGGCAGTTGTCCTAATGGGCACGTGAGACGCATAATACGCCCGAATCAAGTTCTCGTGAATCGAGAGTCGCTTTCCTTGTTGTTTGCACTGCGGCATATTCTCAAAAGTCCTCATAAATTAAGTCTGTCAAAGTGAGGTGAATGCAGCCTCATGTTCCAAAATTTAAACCTCGTGTCAATTCAAATCAACCCTTGAAAAGTTATATGGTATTGTTTTATACGGGACCAGGGAGCAAACCTTGGAGGACAACTGTAGAAGCCGGACTGTTTATGCCCAATCATAGGTCAGCTAAACAGTCCGTTAATGATCACTTTTGGTTTTGTCATCGACCACACAAGTGTTCTTCGTCATCGTTCCTTCTCAGTGCTACCCCCTACATCGTCCCTCTTGACAGGTCTCTCCAAATTCGTCAAAAATACCCATACACATTGAAGTTCAGTGTTACACAGTTGTAGAAGTGGGTTACTGTATATGGTGCAAGTCATCGAAAAGACTACATCGGCCATCCTCACGAGGAGACGTTTTACTATTAAACGCCTCGATTCTTTCAGTTAAACCCACGAAGGATCATTACAGTATTAGTTACTCCAGAGTACGTTGTTTACCTGGTAATTAGGTTAAACGTCCTGAATAATCCGGATACAATGGAACGTTCGTACGGATAAGTGTTGTATACAAAGACCAAGATATACTTGATGCTCCTTTTGCCTGGCTCCATATATTTCGATACAAAAAGGCGGTTGGTTTAAATTCTATAACTCGATCAATTTTTCACCAATCGAAAATCTGAACCGTAACTTCTGTTGGGTCTATCGTTATTACGGCTTAACGTTACTCGAGTATTTTCGAAAAAAATGTCAATACAAAGTTGGAATAGCTGCCGAAAGACAAGGCAATTTTTAAAGTCTTTAGATGACTTGCACCATACTACACACGTCGTGGATTATAGAGGGGCCAAATTTAGTGGTGCGGTGAATATGCGCATCTCCGTCGCGTTCAAAATGAGTGCATAACATTAACCATTAACGTTAGCGATGATCCAGTGTATCTTTGTGCTGTACGTAGTGGTACATAGTACAGTTACTCACTTAGCTTAAGCGATTTTGCTGTTGTGGACAGTACGTACGAACTGTATGGGCAATTGACAGGCATGCCAACTTTTCGAATCGTACAGTGAAGTATCATTGGTACACTCAACAACAGTAGCGTCTGTGATTGGGTAGAATATGTCCAATGACACCGTCCAAGCAGCCAACCAAATGGAAGTTTCACTTCAGTGTTGACCCCTGCTGCACAAATGACGCAACAACAACGAAGTGCGTTTAGCACCATCTTGGCCATCCATGATCTGGCGATGCTCATGCTGGAATTCCAGTGCGGCATCTACGAAGATGTGTATCCTCTCATGCTCCGCCATGACGATATAGCCACCACCTGCACCAACATCATCGCCGACCCTTCGAACGCCAAGTCCCTCCTCATGGACTTCCATACCGCCTTCGCGCCTTGGTACCACTTGCGCAGCGACACGGCGTCATCGTGTCTGCGCCGCTTGCTTCGATGCAATCCAAAGCTCGCTCCGTTGCTTGCATTGTACGGTGTGTTTACCAATACCGCCCCGCTCCTCACCGTCCTCCTGCAAGTACCTCAAACTCCAAGTCTAAGGTGGCCGTCGATTTGGATGGATATCGCCGCGTCGGCCGGCCATCTCCGCGCCCTCCAAGTGCTCGACGTCGTCACCAAGACGTGCCCCTTCAGCGCTATGGACCACGCCGCCATGAACGGCCACCTGCATGTCGTCACGTACCTCCACGAACACCGTCGCGAAGGATGCACCGAAAGTGCCATGGATTATGCGTCGGCCAATGGCCATTTGGCAGTCGTAGCGTATTTACACGCCCACAGGTACGAAGGTTGTACGACCTTCGCCATGGACTGGGCCGCTGAGCATGGCCATTTGGATGTAGTGCGCTTTCTACACGAAAACCGCACCGAAGGCGCGTCGCCAAATGCACTGGCCGACGCCGCCATCAACGGCCATCTCGAAGTGGTGCGCTTTTTGCTCACCTATCGACCCTCTGACGGCTGCCGCGAAGATGCCATGGACCGTGTGGCCGGGAATGGATTTTTGACGATTGTGCAATTACTGCACGAGGCCACGACGTGTCGCGGCTGGACGACCTCCGCCATGGACAATGCTGCCGCCGGTGGCCATTTAGAAGTGGTGCAGTTCCTACATCGCCACCGACCCGAGGGCGTGTCCGACGCAGCGTTGGTGCGGGCCGCCGAGGGGGGACATTTCGATGTTGTGAGATTCTTGCACGAGCAATACACGCAAGGCGATCGGGTGGCAGCAATCGATCGAGCTGTACGGCAGGGACATGCTCAAATCGTGGGGTACTTGCAAGGAAAGCGAAAGCGCGAAAGCCAGAGTTTGTATGACACGATTAAGAGAGTCAGGCTGGCGCACTGGCCGCTCTTCTTGTAACAGATATTGGCATATGCAAAAACCATCGTGGAAAGTGACACAGGTCTTTGTGTAACATTCGTATGTCGTCGATCAAGGGCTAAATATATGAAAAGTCGTGGTGAGCTCGCAGTTTCGTCGGGATGGCTATTTATTTAATTAATACAATTTTCAAGTGTGGTCGATCTCAAATGAAATCGAACATTATGGTGATGAATACAAAGGTCGCGGCACAACGGTTTGGGGCCGAAGGCAGGCAGCCCATTCGATGGAGGAGGCATCGAGTGATGCCATGGAGCTCAAGCTGCAGCAGAATCTGCTCAAGCAGCATGAGAACTATGCTCGACAGAAGGAGCTGCTCCAGAAGCTCAAGATGCAAAGCGAGGCCACTGCGCGGAACCTTAGCATGCCATCGATGCCCAAAACGACTTCGTCGAGTCCAGTGAGTCGTGATAGAAGTATTTACGCGGCTGCCGTGTCGCCCAGGCCGTTGTCGTCGTCCATTATGGAGTTGGCCAAGGACGACCAGCGCATTCAAGACATCTACTCGCAAGAACTCGTCAACGATGGGCTGCGGAAACAACTGGAGCTCATTCGGCGCCTCGAGAGCGACAACTCGCGCCTGCGGTCGGAATCTGGGGCCCTTCGCACCCAAGTCACCCTCCTCGAAGACCGATCCAAGCTCAAAGAGCGAGAGCTCGCGCGACAGGCGGGCGACTTGGAAGACGCGGGGGGCCAGCTACGCGACTTGCGCCAGGACCACCAGTATGCGTTGCAGCAGGGTCAGCAGACCCAGCAGGCTCTAGCCAAAGTGACGCGGGTGAAGGATGCCCTGGAGGAGGAGCTAAGGGCGGCGTTGGACACACAGAGGCGGCTACACGAGCGAATCCACCTCGTGGATATGGAAGTGGACCAGGCCAAGGCCCGCGAAGCCGCGTTGGTAGCGCACACGAAAGCGCTTGAAGTCACGCAGGCCAAGCACGAAGCCACCATCCACGACCTGCAACTGGATATCCAGCACCTCCAGGAGACGCTGTCGCAGAAGTCGGACCAGGTCACGGCGGTGCAGTCGTCCGCCACGTCGTGCGTCGAGCATCTTGAAGCCAGCTTGAAAGCCGTTCAAGACAACTTGAGTCGCGAGCAAGAGAAGAGGCGGACGTGGGAGACGGCGTGCCACGGCCTCGAAACCGAGCTCGAGAACTTCAAGACCAACGAAGTGGCGACGAAGCAAGCATTGGACTCGGTGCGCGACCTCCGCGACCGCAACGCCGCTTTGGAGGAGAAGCAGCCGTACTTTCACCAGTTGGAGCTCGATAACAAGGACATGCACGCCAAGCTACTCCTTGCGCAGAGGGATCGGGAAGAGCACGAACGCCTTGTGGTGCAGATGAAGCACGGCATCTGGCAGACCACGACTGTGCTCAAGAAAGAGTTTGAAGCTATACGCGCTTATGTTGTGTCCATGGAGGAGGAAGAAGGGGGTATTTTGCTCGAAGATGTCGATGTTCAAGTCACGTCGTGGCACGAGTGTCCGACGGAAATCCAGGTACAAACAACAATCCACTTGACATATAATAACTTGTGGGGATGCGATGTATGTAGATACTACGCAGTGTGCTCCATCACTTCAAGCACGACTTGGTGCATTTGAGCCAACGCATGGTGGAAGGACGGGAGAAGGAGGCGGCTCTCCAAAACGAGGGCAACCAGCTGCAGACAAAGCTCGTGGCGCTGCGTCATGACATGAAGGAACTCACTCGGCAGCTCGACCAGCAGAAAGAAGCGTATGCGATTGCCGAGTCGGCGAGGGAGATGTCGATGCGGGAGAAGCGCGATTTGTTGCTGTGGAGCCGCGCGACGTGCCAAAAGACGGAGCGGATGGCGAGCGAGGTCGATCAGTGGGAACAATTCACGATCCAGCAAGTCCACCGCATGCACCGGTTGCCGTGGCAAGAGGTAGTAATAATACCCATTTGTATCAGTCCGTGCCCATGGCTGCTGACGTGGCTAAGCAATGTATTTGTTGGTTGTAGACAGTGGTCCCGATCGCAGAGCTCAAGTACACGTCGTACGCAGAGCTTCGGTCGTCGTGGGAACAAGCACTGCAGTTTGTGCTCCACGAAGCCCACCAGTGCCACGTCAAGTGCAACCAAGAGACCCACCGCGCCAACAAAGAGACCAAGCGCAAACTGGATCTCCAGAGACGGCTAGACTCTGGCGAGGCCGACTGGCAGATCAAATACACGGAAAAGGACAAGGAGATGCAAGCGATGCAGCTGCGCCACACCACTAGCCTGCAGACGCTGCAGGACCAGCATCGGTGTCTACTCAAAGAAAACGACTCCCAGATAGCCACATTGACCCACCAAGTGGAGGACTTGACCGTCAAGTGGAATGCCTGTGAACGCGACCGACAGATGGTTCGAGACCAACATGCAGTGTTGGAGGCCCAGGTATGTTGTGAGTTGTCAAGCATATATATATATAGTTTCTCAAATGTCATTCAACGACACATAATATGTATATGACATATATATATATTATGTGTCGTTGAATTATGACACATATACATGTGTCATATATATATATTAAGTGTCGTTGAATGAAATTTGAGGAAAACTATATATATATAATATATATACGAAGTATATGTATGTGTGTATATAATACATGTATGACATATATATACATTATGTGTTGTTGAAAGACATTTGAGGAAAACTATCAGAGTGTTTACTGGTATATATATTTGTATGTAGGCGCCGTTGTATGCCGGGATCGCGCACATGTTTGTCGTGTGTGTGCGTCCAATGGTGCTTCAAATCAGCGAACTGCAGACCCAAAAGCGGATTCTGAGTCACCAGTTGGGCCAGTTGACCGTCCAACAAAAGGAAATGGAGCAAATCGCGGCCTTGTTCCAGTCCACGGAGCTCAAGAAGCCGCTCAAAGTCACGTTTCGGGCGGCGGCGCTCGCCGTGTTTGCCGCTAACCGGCTGCGGCATGCCAGCGGTCGGCAGTACGGCCGCAACGAGGCGTTGGGGCTCGTGTTTCCCCAGCAAATCGGTGTCGTCAAGCTGCTGTCCATGTCCAGTGTCGAGTACTCGACCGAGGTACAGTAGTATTTACTCAAACATATCTAGAAACATCGCGGAAACGGCTAAGTCTTCTGTAACACAGGCACTACTTCGGCTGCAAAGCAATGCGTTTGTGGAAAAGTGGACGCGGTTGGCGCAATGTCCGTCGGCGTCATCGTCGGTGGCGGCGGCACCCGGCGCGACCAAGCGGCATAGTGGCATGTACGGCCACTCGGGGCTGGGGGAGCTGGTGCTGTCGACGCTGGCGGCGATCGACCCGTCGGGCGAGTGTGTGTTGACCAACACTCTGCAAGGGCACGCGAGTTTCCTATGTGATTTGCACCCGGTACGGTCCAACGACAAGCAGCTGACGGTGGACGTGCACCGCATCCGCCGCAAGGTGCTCGAGTGGATGAAAAAGGTGGAAAACCTGCAGTTCCAGCGCACGGCGCTGCAGAAGGACAACTACGCGCTGCAGTCGCAAATCCACGAAAAGGACTTTGAACTGCGCGAGATGGCTCTGCTCAACGCGAACGCCCAAGAACTCCAGGAAAAACTGACCATGTACCAGACCCATGACGGCCATGGCATCACATTGCGCGAGTTTGAAACGTGCGCGGCCGCGTGCCAGGAAGCCGAGGCCCGCTGTGCCGAGTACGCCGTTGAGATTGCCGACAAGAAGCGGCTGGTTAAGGAACTGCAGTCGCAGCTGGACACTACCTCTGGACGCAACCGACAGGTTGAAGAGCAGTTGGACGTGACGCGCCAAGCGCTGCTGGACGAGGAGGAGGCCGTCGTGTCACTCAAGGGCGTGGTCGCGCGGTACGAAGTCGAGATGCGCAAGCTTACCCATGCGGCGCACAGCGTTCAGTCGCAGTTTCACCAACGATGCAACGAGATTGAAAGCGACAAACTTGAGTTGACGGCGCTCTCGGCGCTGCTGCAAGAGACTCAGCGGAAGAACCAAACTCTCGAAGATGAACTGGACCACATGCACCAAGAGATCAAGGCCAAGGCGAGCCACCACAAGGACTCCGCGCTGAGTCGACCAGGAGGCTCGGTGCACAGCCTTCACCGCCCGACCGACGGGTACGGATGCCCCCGGCCCCTCCATGCATCCGCGTTGTCGTCGACGCATGGAGAAGGAGGAGGGGGGGCTGCTATTGAATACAAAGACTTGCCCCACAGTCTCAAAGCATCGCATGCACGGAGCTCGTACCGGGACAAGATGCACGTGGCCGACTTGGAATCGAACGAAGAAGCGGTGAATATGGACATTGACAAGGTCAACCTCGCGGTGCACAGCTACATGGACCGTATCGACAAGAAACTGCAGACCATGTACGGCATTCCTGGCTCGGACAAGTGGAAAGACTTCAAATTTGGAGACTCCAACTCGTAGAGCTACTTATAGGACTGTAGGCGGTAGGTAGTCAATCGTTATGGTCAACTCGAGGGTATGATTTCAAAACCCTTTTTCAGTCTCCGTGTTGAACTGGTTGCCAACTACACCAGAGAAACGTGGAATCGACGGGCCTGGCGCTATATCAAGTGGACATATTAATAATATATGGACGACACTGTCCAGAATATATTATATTCATCAAAGACAAACACTTGGACAAGTCGATAATAGCGAGGTTTTGCAAGTGTCCGTTCGCGGTCGCGTTCTGCTCCGACCCATGCTTTTTGTGTCAAATGCAGTTCGAACTTGTTGTTTTGTACTATAAGTAAATATTATTCGGATATCAAAATTGTTGTTTTGTATAAGTAAATATTATTCGGATACTCATCCACGGCGGGAAATCACTTTGCCCAGCGATGGTGCTCACGCAATGGGAGTTGTCCTTGCAAGCAGCGTTTAGCTTGGCAATCGAGATAAAATATGTGCTTTGACTATACGTATACAGTGCTGCTCAAAACTATAGACGCACCCTATTTTTCATCGATTTCTCATCTCGTACTTTAGTGAACAATTTGGCATTTTGCTCAAGATATCTTGAAAGAAGAATAAATTTAGCCCAAGTATACATTCATTCAATCAAAGATTGTATTATTTGAAAGTCGACAAATGTTCAGTTTTTAGGGTGTGAAAAACTATAGACGCACTCAAATGTTTGGTCGAAAAAGATGAGATATTTGCATTTTTTTTAACGTTTTGAGACTTCCAGAATGTTCAATGAGTAACACAGAATTCATGCGTATCATTGGCCACTTTGAAACGCGCCTGGTCATGCCCATGGGCAAGAGACTCACCGAACAACAAGTCGGTGCGACTTTGGCCCTCCACGACGACGGCAAAAGTAATCGAGGGATTGCAAAGCTGCTAGGATGCAGCGAAAAGGCTATTCGAACGTGTTTGCTCCGGTCTCAGTCCAAGAAAAGCGATAAAAAGGTCGGAAGAAAGTCCAAAGTAACTAAACGAATCATTAGGCGTATATTTCGTCTGGCCACTGTTAAGCACTACTCATCTAAACGCATTGCCGAGGCATTGGATAACGTGGCCAAAGCCTCTACAATTCGTCGATGGCTCAATTCAACGAAGATAACAAAGTATATCAAGCGTAAACCTTGCCCTGCCCTAAAGCCGCATCACAAAAAAGCGCGCGCTCAGTTTTGTGCCCGTTGGCTAAGCCGATCTCAAGATTGGAGTCGTGTCGTGTTCAGCGATGAAAAGAAGTTTAATTTAGACGGCCCGGACGGGTATCAGTACTACTGGCACGACATACGTAAGGAGAAGGAAATTTATTCCAAGCGCATCAGCGGCGGAGGAAGCGTTATGATATGGGCCGGAATAAACACTGAGGGCCAACCTGAGCTGGCCTTCTTGGATGGACGACAAGACTCTGCCAAGTACTGCCATACGTTGGACATGTACCTGCTCCCACTGATCGGAAACCTACAGCAACGTCATGGTATTTTGAGGCCGATATTTCAACAAGACAACGCCTCTATCCACGTTTCTCGACCCACATCGAAGCTAGTGGTATTGAAGTCATGGAGTGGCCCGCAAAGAGCCCTGATCTCAACCCTATTGAGAACGTTTGGGGGCAACTGGCCTATTTGGTGTACCAAGATGGACGTCAGTTTGAGTCAGTCGTTGAATTGAAGACTCAAATTCGTGCTTCTTGGGACCTACTTACCCAAGAATACTTGCGTCAACTGGTCGATGGAATGCCAACTAGAATGGCACAGGTCATCATTTTGTGTTGAAACAAGTGGTCCAATTTAAGGTGCATCATTTTAAGCTTAGTCTTTGTATACCCATTTGCATACTTTTTGGGCGGTTAGGTTAAAAACTACCTTTGTAGGAATTGATTGGCTAATTCGCGAGCACCTTAAATTGGATCGAGCAACTTAAATTGGACTTTTACGTTACCACCTGGTAACGACGACAAATGTTCCTTTGAATTATGGCATTGGAATGGAGAAGTCTGATGACGCCGCGTACACCGACGCTCAACGACGGTCCGACGTCGTGCTCATCCACAAGTTCGTCGGCAACGGCCTATTTGAGGTGACGGCCAAAATCACTGCATACGGCCGCGATGTGAGGTCCCGCACCCGCCAGCATTCGAGTGCGAATCGTGCCTTTAAGTTGGCTTCAAATGCCCTGTTAAGTCTCGAGGCCTCGCCACGTGACGCAACATCGATTGCACAACCAACGAATGATTGTGCGTCGAATGGCCGTGATCCGAAGCAAGTCCACGTGGGGTTTGGGCCGTTTGATCCATTGCAACAACATTTCAAGGTCGGACACGTCTTCATGAACTCGAACACGTTTTTTGAAGCGAAACGATTGTTGCAAATGTGTTTCACCCGCAATGGAATTGTTTGCGACGACGCAGTCAACCAAGCAATCAAGAAAGACGGCTACGAGCGACTGTGTTTGGTCCTCCTGCGGGGGCAATGGCGTTGAACGTGTACTCTGTCAGAATCTCACAGTCAGTTGGTTAAGGCTTGGACGGTTTAGAGCGAAATTCCCAATAGTGCAATGTTCCTAAACTAGAATTGAAGGGCAATGTGAT